TAACCCTAGTATGTTTGTATTGAATTATATCAACTCCAAGTTTTCCCAGGGATTGGGAACTGTGAGCCAAATAAACTTTTTTTATTTTTATTTTTTTATTTTTTTTTTATGACAGGGTCTCACTCTTTCACCCGGGCTGGAGGGCAGTGGCGTGATCTTGGCTCACTGCAAACTGTGCCCCCAGGGCTTTAAGTAATCCTCCTACCTCACCCTACCAAGTAGCTGGAACTACATATGCATTTTACCAGACTTTGCTAATTTTGTAATTTTTGTAGAGACAGGGTTTCACCATGTTGCCCAGGCTGGTCTTGAACTTCTGGGCTCAAGTGATATCCCCACCTTGGCCTCCCAAAATGCTGGGATTACAGGTGTGAGCCACTGCGCCCAGCCCACCTCTTTTCTTTATAAATTACTCAGTCTCAGGTATTCCTTTATGGCAACACAAACAGACTAAGGCAGATTGTTTCAAAATGTCCAGAAACTCGACACTTTTTTGCTATAAAAAGTGGAGCCGCATTTTTCTCCTGTTGTATATGGGCCAGACTCAGTGACTTGCTTCTAATGAATAGAATATGACAGTGTGACTTTTGAGCCTAGGTCATAAAAGATCCTGTGGCTTTTTTCTTGCTCTTCTTATACTTCTTGTTCTGGGGATAGCCAGCAAAGCATCATGTCATGGAGATACTCAAGAAGCCTGTGGAAGGGCGGGGCACAGTTCCTCATGCCCGTAATCTCAGTGCTTTGGGGGGCTGAGCTGGGAGTATCGCTTGAGGCCAGGAGTTTAAAACCAGCCACACACACCCACACCCACATGCACACACACCCAACTTAGCCAGGCATGGCAGTGTGTGCCTGTAGTCCCAACGACTTGGGAGGCTGAGGTGGGAGGATCGCTTGAACCCAGGAGCTCAAGGCTGCAATGAGCTGATTGCACCACTGCATTCCAGCTTGGGCAACAGAGTGAGACCTTTTCTCTTAAAAAAAAAAAAAAAAAGTCTGTGGAGAAGCCCTAATGGGGAGGAAATAAGACCTTGTGCTAACAGTCAGCAAGGAACTGAGACCTTTTGCTGACAGCCATGTAAGCAAGCCATCTTAGAATCAGATCGTCCAGTCTCAGTCCAGCCTTCAGATAATAGCAGCCCAGGCAACATCTTGAGTCTCATAAAGAGTCTCTGCACCAGAACCACTGAGCTATATCCTCAATTCCTGACCCACATACATTGTTAAATAATGTTTTACGCTGTTAACTTTCAGAGTGATTTGTTACACAGAAATGTATAATTAGTATATTTGTTTCTTGCATGAACTGGACTTTGTAGGGCATGAAGAAAATGTTATTCTTTATTACTTTTTCTCCTATAAACTTGTTTACACTATTAGTTCTTTGCTGTCCCAGAATAAAACAGTAGGAATTTGCTTAACTTTTCTGAATATCCTTAGATATTAGTAAGTCCATTTTAGTCTAAAAGTTGTAACTTCTAACTCTTACTCAATTTAAGCTACGCCCCTCTGCCAGCCAAGGCCTATTTCAGGCCTGAAAGCCTGCAGTTGGGAAGAAAACTTGCCTCGTTACTTTATTTCACATCTTTCTCTATTACCCAACTCATGAGGCTATTTCTAATGCCTCCATAAGTAGGAGTCAGAGTAGAGAAAGGAGGTCAGGTAAGAATCAGGAAAGGTCTTACTTGACTGCTTTGGGTGTAATCTGGCTTTTGTGCCTTCTGGAAATGGTACAGTGGTATGTGGGAATTGGCCTGCACTGACTCACAAGAGCTGACAGTTAAATTAGTTAAATTGGGATTGTTGAAAGGAGATTGTTAAATCCAGCCATCATATAATTAAATGACAAGGCCAGGCATGGTGGCTCATTCCTGTAATCCCAGCACTTTGTGAGGTGGGTGAGTCATTTGTGCCCAGGAGTTTGAGACCAGTGTCGGCAATGTGGCCAGACCCTGTCTCTACAAAAAATATTAATACAAAAATTAGCTGATGTGGTAGCACATGCCTGAAGTCCCAGCTACTCAGGAGGCTAAGGTGGGAGGATTGCTTGAGCCCAGGGGACAGAGGTTGCAGTGAACTGAGATCATGCCACTGCACTCCAGCCTGGGTGACAGAGTGAGATCCTGTATCAAAATAAAATAATAATAATAATAAAAAACACCCAACAAATGAAATTACATGTAAACTTACAATTAAATAAATGTATTCAACTTGAAGGTAATAAGTACTCATTATCTCCAAATTATTTAACTGCATTTACTATTACTTACACTCTTATCTTGAGTTTACTTCTGTCTAATTGTAGTTGCAGAGTGGAAATACTCTATAATGATGTCCCGTTGTGCATCTTTTCTCAACTCCGTATTCAGTGACATCACATTAGTAGACTGAACTTGGCCTTCGTGGGAGTCAAGAACCATGGAATCATAACACAGACATCAGAAACACTACATATATGGGCTGTTTTCCTAGAGATCTGGTTGTGAAATCTTTACTGGAATACCAAACACACATTTATGCTCTCAGAGAATGCTTCTGCTGGGAAATATTGTAGATTCCAGATACAGATCTCTGTTTTCACAGAATGTTTCTGCTGAGAAATATATTTCCTGTAGTTTCCTGGACATGGGTCCTGTCTGGTTCACCTGGTGATTGAGTCATTCTCTGTTAGGGGCACTGCATCCCTGTAGGCAGCCCTAGTGGACAGAATCCTTCATATCATAAGAAACCCATTATGGCTCTTTCCTACAAGATCCACTTCTGGCCTATGAGAAATTCATTTTCATTTGCCCTGCCCAGAAGTACACGCCATTCCCATCCAAGTCCCATTTTCTTTTTCTTTTTTTTTTTTAATTGCATTTTAGGTTTTGGGGTACATGTAAAGAACATGCAAGATTGTTGCATAGGTACACACATGGCAGTGTGATTTGCTGCCTTCCTCCCCATCACCTGTATCTGGCATTTCTCCCCATGCTCTCTCTCCCCAACTCCCCACCTGATGCTGTCCCACCCCTTGTCCCCCTCAACAGACCCCAGTGTGTGATGCTCCCCTCCCTGTGTCCGTGTGTTCTCGTTGTTCAACACCCACCTATGAGTGAGAACATACGGTGTTTGATTTTCTGTTCTTGTGTCAGTTTGCTAAGAATGATGGTTTCTAGGTTCATCTATGCCCCTACAAAGGACACGAACTCATCGTTTTTGATGGCTGCATAATATTCCATGGTGTATATGTGCCACATTTTTCCTATCCAGTCTATCATCAGTGGACATTTGGGTTGGTTCCAGGTCTTTGCTATTGTAAACTGTGCTGCAATAAACATTCGTGTGCATTTGTCCTTATAGTAGAACAATTTATAATCCTTTGGATATATACCCAGTAATGGGATTGCTGGGTCAAATGGAATTTCTATTTCTAGGTCCTTGAGGAATCGCCATACTGTCTTCCACAATGGTTGAACTAATTTACACTCCCACCAATAGTGTAAAAGTGTTATTATTTCTCCACATCTTCTCCAGCATCTGTTGTCCCCAGATTGTTTAATGATCGCCATTCTTTTTGTTTTTTTTGAGATGGAGTTTCGCCCTTGTTACCCAGGCTGGAGTACAATGGCCAGATCTCGGCTCACCACAACCACCACCTCCTAGGTTCAGGCAATTCTCCTGCCTCAGCCTCCTGAGTAGCTGGGATTACAGGCACGCACCACCATGCCCAGCTAACTTTTTGTATTTTTAGTAGAGACGGGGTTTCACCATGTTGACCAGGATGGTCTCGATCTCTTGACCTTGTGATCCACCCGCCTCGGCCTCCCAAAGTGCTAGGATTACAGGCTTGAGCCACCGCACTTGGCCAATGATCGCCATTCTAACTGTCATGAGATGGTATCTCAATGTAGTTTTGATTTGCATTTCTTTAATGACCAGTGATGGTGAGCATTTTTTCATATGTTTGTTGGCCTCATGTATGTCTTCTTTTGTAAAGTGTCTGTTCATATCCTTCACCCACTTTTGAATGGGTCAAGTCCCATTTTCTTATCCGGCTATCAGAGTAGCAAGCTTCAGTATCCTCTAGCTGTAGCCTCACCCCAAGATCAGGGCACCAGTGTTCCTTAAACTTGAGAGAATATATGCCAAGATCTTTGTATGCTTTCTCAAAGTGTCCAACCCCCACTTTGCTTGGCTTGAAAGGGAAGAATACCACCCAAATCCCTGTAGGGATGCTGATAGTGATATTCAGATCATGTGACAACTCTTCAAATAAATTCATACTTACCCATCTCTTCAACTCCTCTTATGAATTCTTAGTCTACATATAGGCAGGATATGTGTGGTGTGCTGATGGTAAAGCTGTCTAAGACAGTCTCCTTATAAATTCCACATAGTCTAATACTTCATGTTACACCATGACTATCTTTGTTAACTATTTTTTGTTCTGTGCTTTCATTATTAAGCAAATGGGCTTGCTGCCTGAAGCACATGTAAGCCAATAACCACAGCACCGGCTTCGAGAAAAGCAAGGCTTTATTGCAAACTGGCCCGTAAGGAAACAAGAGTCAGGTTCAAATCCATCTCCCTTATTTGGAGTTTGGGGCAAGTTTATGGGCTCAGAGGGCAAGGAAAGGATTTAGAAATGTGGGCTTGGCAGGATCTGATTGGAAGGCTTCAAATTTGACCATTTACCAAATTCTGGCATTCAGGTTTAGGTCATATTCCAGTCTTGTTGGTCTGAGGAGAGAAATCATTGGTTCCAGGTATTGTTGAGGTCAAAGCTTTTTCTACTGTGCATGCCCAGGCAACATGATCTTCAGTTTTTGACTCTGATATACCTACAAGGTAATGCAACATTTATTATTAACAGAGTAGACCTAGTTTGGGCTGGTACTGCCTCTATACTTTGAGGGACTCTTTTCGAAGCAGAATAAAAGAAAAGTAATATCTAATAACATGTTACACATGTCACGGCCTTAGTCTTTTTTTTTTTTTTTTCCTCCAAATCTTTTTCTTTGGGGCTTAAGGCAATCTGGGATGTTCACTGATTACATGGGCTGAGGAAGGGTCCCAGGGACTATGAGGCTCAGGCTGATTTGTTCACTTAATGACAAGAAGCAGATAGGCGTTTAAGTCGAGTGCTGGTATAAAACTTCCCCTTTACCCTCTGAAGGATAACTGAAAACTCATAAAAGACAGGTTAATAGGTGAAATGGTATGCAAATGTATTAACATGCACCATGCCACCTGCCATTTGAATGATCCATGCCAGCAGACTATAGCATGGTAATGTAATGAATCACAGAGTGATTACCCCAAGCGCAAAGTGGGGCACAGAAGCTTTCAGAACATCTTAAGGTTACAGAAAGAATGGGGGGTTTTGATTGTGGCAAAACAGGTTTTGGGAGCAAAATACATTACAGATGGGGAAGAAGAGGAGGACTGGCAGAAAAGATGGTCTTGTTATGTAGAGGAAATCTCACAGATAGCAGCCCTCAAGAGAGATTAGATGGTAAATGTTTCTTGCAGATCTTTAAAGGTATTAAATTCTGTTAATCTTCCTTAGATCTGGACAAGAAAGGGCCTCAGAGAAAGCCTGGCTGTATCAATGCAGATTTTCTCTACAGATGCAATTCTCCCCCCACAAAGGACAGCTTTTCAGCTGTTCTCATATTTCCAGCCCTTCTGAATAGCCATCTTGAAATATGTTAAAGAATTCTTTTTTGGGCTGAAATATTTTGGTTTCCCTTAGCACAAATTACAAGAAAGAGCCAAAGTTGTACTGGTGAGTGGTATCAGATATCAGGAGCAGAGTAAATGCCAAAAGATATTGTTTGGATTTGTGTCTCCACCCAAATCTCATGTCAAATTGCAATGTTGGAGGAGGGGCCTGGTGGGAGATGACTGGATCATAGGGGTGGATTTCCCCTTGCTGTTCTCATAATAGTGAGTGAGTTATTACAAGATCTGATTGTTTAAAAGTGTGTAGCACCTACTAGAGGTTCTCTCTCCTACTCCAGCAATGTAAGACATGCCTGCTTTCTCCTCGTTACTTCTACCATGATTGAAAGTTTCCTGAAGCCTCTCCAGCCATGTTACCTGTACAGCCTGTGGAACTGTCAGTCAGTTAAACCCCTTTTCTTTATAAGTTATGCAGTCTCAGGTAGTTCTTTGTAGAAATGTGAGAATGGACTAATACAGAAAATTGGTACTGAGGAGTGGGCCACTGGCATAAAGGTACCTGAAAATGTGGAAGTGACTTTGGAACCGGGTAACAGGCAGAGGTTAAAACAGCTTGGAGGTCTCAGAAGAAGACAGGAAGATGATAAAAAGTTTGGAACTTCCTAAAAACTTGTTAGATTCTTGGGACCAAATTACTGAGTGATATGGATGACGAAGTCTAGGCTGAGGTGGTCTCAGATGGAGATAAGGAACTTACTGGGAACTGGAGCAAAGATCACTTTTGTTATGCACTAGCAAAGAGGTTGGAAGCATTGTGCCCCTGCCCTGTGAAACTTTGAAAGTGAAAGTGATAATTTAGAGTAACTTGCTGAAGAAATTTCTAGGCAGCAAAATGTTCAAGACATAGCCTGGCTGCTTCTAACATCTTAAGCTTATATTTGTGAGCAAAGAAATGACCTGGAAATAGAAGATATTTATAAGAGAAGCAGAGTGTAAAAGTTTAGAAAATTTGCAGCCCTGCCATGTGGTAGAAAAGAAAAAACAATTTTCTGGGGAGCAATTCAAGCTGGCTGCAGAAATTTGCATAAATAAAGAGGAGCCTAACATTAATGGCCAAGACAATGGGAGGCAATGCCTTGAAGGCATTTCAGAGGCCTTCATGGCAACCTCTCTCATTACAGGCCTGGAGGCCTAGGAGGGAAAAATAGTTTTACAGTCTGAGTCTAGGGCCCCACTGCCCTGAGCAACCTCAGGACACTGCTCCCTGCATCCTAGCTACTCCAGCTTCAGCTGTGGTTAGAAGGACCCCAGATACATCTTAGGCCACTGCTCCAGGGGGTGTAAGTCATAAGCCTTGATGGCTTCCACATGGTGTTAAGCCTGCAGGTGCACAGAGGGCAAGAGCTGAGGTGTGGGAGCCTCTGCATAGATTTCAGAGGATGCATGAAAATGCCTGGATGTTCACAGAAGTCTCCAGAGCCCTCATGGAGAACTTCTACTAGGGCAGTGCAGAGGGGAAACATGGGCTTGGAGTCCCCATACATTGTCCTAGTGGAGCCATCTTCCAGACCCCAGAATGGTAGATTCATCGACAGCTTGCATCATGCACCTGGAAAAGCTGCAGGCACTCAGTGCCAGCCCATGAAAGTATTCAAGGAAGCTGTACCCTGCAGAGCCACAGGGGCAGAGATGCCTAAGGCCTTGGGAGCACACCCCTTGCATCAGTGTGGCCTCAATGTGAGACATAAATTCAAAGGAGATTACTTTGGAGCTTTAATAATTAATGACTGCCCTGCTGGCTTTCAGACTTACAGAGGGCCTATATCCCCTTTATTTTGGCTAATTTTCCCCTTTGGAATGAGTTCATTTACCCAATGCCTGTACCCTCATTGTATCTTGGAAGTAACTAATTTGTTTTTGATTTTATAGGTTCATAGTCATAGGCAGAAGGGAATTGCCTTTTCTCAGATGAGATTTTAGACTTTTGAGTTAATGCTGAAATGAGTTAAGACTTGTGGAACTACCAAGACAGGATAATTGTATTTTGCTATGTAAGAAGGACATAAGATTTGGGAGGGGCCAGGAGTGAATGATTTGGTCTGGATTTGTATCTCTGCCAAAATCTCAGGTGGAATTATTATCCCCAGTGTTGGAGGAGACGCTAGGTGAGAGGGGATTGGATCATGGGGCAGACTTCCCCATTGCCGTTCTTGTGATAGTGAGTGAGTTCTCATGAGATCTGGTTATTTATTATTTATTTATTTTTGAGGCAGGGTCAGGCTCTGTGACCCAGGACAGAGTGTAGTGGCATGAACTTGGCTCACTGCAACCTCTTCCTTCTAGGCTCAAGTAATTCTGTCATCTCAGCCTCCCAAGTAGCTGGGTGATATGGTTTGGCTCTGTGTCCCCACCCAAATCTCATCTTGAATTGTACTCCTATAATTCCTACATGCTGTTGGGGGTACCTGGTGGGAGATAATTTGAATTATTGGGGTGGTTCCCCCATACTGTTCTTATGTTAGTAAGTCTCAGAAGATCTGATAGTTTTATCAGGGAATTTCACTTTTGTATCCTTCTCATTTTCTCTTGGTGCCACCATGTAAGAAGTGCCTTTTGCCTCTTGCCATAATTCTGAGGCCTCCCCAGCCCTGTGGAACTGTAAGCCCAATTAAGCCTCTTTTTCTTCCCAGGCCCGGGTATGTCGTTATCATCAGTGCGAAAACAGACAAATACACTGGGACTACAAGCATCTGCCATGTCTGAGTAATTTTTGTAATTTTCATAGGGACAGGGTTTTGCAATGTTGCCCAGGCTGGTCTCAAACTCCTGAACTCAAGTGATCCACCTGCCTTGGCCTCCCAAAGTGCTGTGATTACAGATGTGAGCCACCATGCCTGGCCTCTGGTTGTTTAAAAGTGGGTAGCACCTCCCACCATTGCTCTCTCCCTCCTACTCCAGCCATATAAGACATGTCTGCTTCCCCTTCACCTTCCACCATGACGGAAAATTTTCTGAGGTCTCCCTAGCCATGTTACCTGTACAGCCTGTGAAACTGAGTCACTTAAACCTCTTCTCTTCATACATTACCCAGTATGAGATAGTTCTGAGATGGCAACATGAAAATGAACTAACACACCAAAGATGGAAGATGAGGGAACAAGTTAGAAGCTGAGGTCAAGACCACATTGGGAACTGGGTGTGGCTGTCAATGAGTTCCTCTTACCATGCTCTAATCTGCTGGCATGGGCCACTCAGCTGGCAAGGGGCTTGGTCAACTGCTGGAAGGCACAAGGTGGGCATAGACAGTGCCATTTTAAATTGCTCAGGAGCCAATCAGGTGGACCTTTTGCTTTTTTTTTTTTTTTTTTTTTTTTTGAGACGGAGTTTCGCTCTTGTTACCCAGGCTGGAGTGCAATGGCGCGATCTCGGCTCACCGCAACCTCTGCCTCCTGGGTTCAGGCAATTCTCCTGCCTCAGCCTCCTGAGTAGCTGGGATTACAGGCACACGCCACCATGCCCAGCTAATTTTTTTTGTATTTTTAGTAGAGACGGGGTTTCACCATGTTGACCAGGATGGTCTTGATCTCTTGACCTCGTGATCCACCCACCTCAGCCTCCCAAAGTGCTGGGATTACAGGTTTGAGCTACCGCACCCGGCTGGACCTTTTGCTTTCTTATCCAATTCCCTACCAACCTTGCCTTCAACAATAAGAAACAATAAAAAATGATACTCAAGTGAGACCATTTTCAAAATTAGCATTGATTTGGTTTGCAGCATGGTACAGAGTACCAAGAGATGTAAACCAAAAATAGAATTCCCTAATCAACGGAATCAACCCCTTCTCTTGTTCAAAGATATTCCAAACTTAACCAGAAAAACTATTTCAGGCCATGATGGGAAGTGAGAGTCAGACATACCTCATTATTCCCTCCTCCCCTTGGAATTCAGGCACAGCTGACCAGCATTAACATTAACATAGAGATCTTAAAACTGATGAAACACACTTTTGTAGACACCAAATTTCAGCCTGACTCTGGTATAGCATCACATGACAGATAGTGGGCCTTGAAATAACTCAAAGTATTTTACCCAAAATATATTACTTTGATAGAGGATACTAGAGAAGTACATTTAGATTCAGTATCTTCTAACTTAGCAAATACCTGCCCAATTCGATAATCAGTTTTGTCTGTAACATGATTTCCCTAAGGGCAGGCTCCATGCATTTTGTATTACTTCCACAATACTTCCACCTCACTGGGTAGACATCAAGTGGACACTCAGTACTTTCTAATCTACTAAAAGCCTTTCTCTCGTACTTAAATACCCTCAGGTTTTCATCACATACAAATTAAAAACTCTCTTGCCTAGTTTCCAAAGCACGCTTCAGTCTCTACAGAACTCACCTGACCTATCTTATTTCCCACTGCTTCTCTGCATATTATGCCAAACCAGTTTTATACTTGCCTCTGAACACATCTTTTTTTTTTTCTTTGTCATAATAGTTTTACTTACTTGGAAAAAAATTCCTCTTCCCCCCTTATTAAAATCTTACTCATCATTGAAATCAAACTTGGATTCCACCACTTTTTAAAAGTCTTCTTTATCAATATCTACCTGAGTAGGTCATTCTAGGACTCTGGTCCATCCCCTCAAGGGCATGGCATTCAGTGGGGTACATATTTGGGTGAGGCACAATTAATATAAGCAGAGTTAATTTGGGCCAAGCTTGAAGATTGCAACCTAGGAGCATAGATTCAAGTTGCCTTGAATATACACTCTGATTAGTAGCCATCATCAAGCAAACACTGCCTAGGGATGCTTATTCAATGGATGTTTGGAACTTTTATTCAAATCTCTGTGAATATATTACTTGTCCAACTTGCCAGTAAACTCCTTGAAACCTATGACTCGATTGCATGCAATAACACTTAATACCTTAGATATCTTAGAACCTCCCAAGCTTATGATGTTCACTACAGCATGATTTACTCCATAAAACGTAGTAAGGTGGCTCATTCCTGCAATCCCAGCACTTTGGAAGTCTGGCGGGTGGATCATTTGAGGTCAGGAGTTCGAGACCAGCCTAGCCAACAAGGAAAAACCCTGTCTCTAGTAAAAATACAAAAATTATCCAGGTGGTAGTGGTGCACACCTGTAATTTTAGCTACTTGGGAGGCTGACGCAGGAGAATCACTTAATCCTTAGAGGCAGAGGTTGCAGTGAGCAGAGATTGAGCCACGACATTCCCAAAGAGTGAGTGAGACAGGCCTTATCTCAAAAAAAAAAAAAAAAAAAATGTAGTAAGGTTCAAATTCAAACTAACTCTTTTATATAGAATAATTTAAAAATATTGTTAAACTCAATCCATGTAACTACATCTTAGAAAGAAATCAAGTCAACAAACATTTGTCAAGCTGATCATGTGCCCAGTATTCTGGCAGGTACTATAGAAAATAAGATGACATCCAGTAGACTCTTGTGACAGACTGAATATAGAAATGGACAATGATCAGAGTGTATATAAAAATAGAACTCTGACCTACAACCTCTCCAGGAACTAGTGCAGAAAGACACAGCAATCTCTGCAGTAGCAATCTCTGACTTGATCAACTGCCAGTTTCCTTAGTTTTTGTCCTGTTTCCAGCTTAGTACTAACCAGAGAAAGCCAACTATGTACCCCTAACTGACCACATAGGATGCCATGCTTCCACTTAACCTGCCTCCAGCTTCCCCATGCCAACATCAAATCAGGGCATACCTGAAGTCTTTCCTTTTTTTGCATTATAAAGCTTTCACATTTCCCTGCCTGCTTTCCAGTCTGACAAACACAAGTGATGGTAGCTGACTGCCTTGCTACAGCAAACTTTGAATAAATATCTTTTACTTGTACTCATTTGAGTGTTCTCCATTTATTTCTGCTCTTGGAATTACAGAATTATTATAGGTGGTTTTAATGATTAATTTAGACCCCCAACGACTCAAGACATAGTGATTTATAATTTTATTGGGTTTGAATTTGAATTGTATTAGGGTTGAGACTGATATGTGACAGTTAGTGACTGCCCTGTACACACACACAACTTTGCTTTTATATACATACTGCGACACATGAACTTTACTGGGGAAATTATATTCTCTAGAGTATATTTTGAGGGATTTTTTTTTGAAGGTGTCAGACTTAACATCTGATGTATCTTAAGGGTCTACTATTGAGAGATTTCAAGAGTGATCAACTTTGAAGAGAAAAAATGAATAAAATTAAAAGATCAAGACTGTGGGACTTAAAAAAATAGTGCTACTCTGTTGACCTAAAAGGAAGAAGCTGAAGCAAAATTAATATAAATAGAGTTAATTCAGGCCAAGCTTGAAGACTGCAGCTTAGGAGCATAGATTCAAGTTGCCTTGAATATACACACGAATTAGTAGCCATCACAAGTGAATCTTTAAAGGCAAAAAAGGGGACAAGGAGTGGGCTGATACCAAGTTGTATACAATAATTCTTATTTGTTTATGGAAATAACACTTATTAGTGATTGGTTACATTGTTAAGCTATAGGATGTGGGTTATAGTGTCCAATGTGACATTAGATTAATTTATAGCTACCTGTGGCATAGGCAAGCAGTTTCAAGAGATGAATACATAGCTCAAGAGAAGTAGGCTGTGATTGTTGTCTCATTTTAATGTTCCTCTGGGCCTGACAATTTAAAAGAACTACATTCCTCAGATAAAAATTATTTTCTTTTCTCACCACTAAATAACCGAAATAGAGACCTAGGAAAGGAATTAAGTATAAGGAAAAGATCAAGAGACAGCAAGATGTCCCAGTTCATTGCACGAACATTAACTACCAGCTATAGAATGGTAGGCACTATTCCACATGTGGAGGATAATAGTGAAGAACAAAATGGACCAAAATCCTTGCGCTTGTGGAACTTATATTTGAAATAATATGAAGATTTAGTCTTGGGCAAGACATAGACATAGGGATAAAAAAAGGAATGCCTGAGATGCTCAGGATGATGCCACAGCACAGAAACACACTAGGGCCTATTGTTACAGCAGTCCAGTGGAATTTCCCTTAAAGAACCCAGGGAAAAGATATTAATGGAAGTTAAACTAGGTTTTCAGACTAGCTGAAGACAGTCTGCCAGAATTACTTTATCCATTACGAGAATATCCACAGCTTGTCCTTTAACAGATGGTCTGGAGACAGGTGGTCATAATGGTAACTTACAAAGTACTATCATTTGCATTATTTTAATTCAGAAACCAATATTTATAGAAGAAACTGAGGCACAGTAGAGAGTGGAATAATCCCCAAGATTACAAAACAAATTGTAGTCAGATTAAGAATTGTCCTCTAGCTTTCCTGACCCAGATTCTGAGAGACATTTATGCTATTTTTTTCAGACTATACATCAACAATGTAGCATAAAGAATTCGTAGGCATATTACGAGCTGATACCCTAAAAATGCTAATGAACTAAAGAAACTGGTGCTAGAATAATTTGACTAATGTCTGCAACCAAATTTCCCTTAAGCAGTAATACCAAGTATTTGGTTAAGATTTTTTTATTCTGCACAATAGATTTCTGAACGATTTATTAGAGGTATTCGATGCTGATAGTTTATTTGAAACGGATTCGATCAATTAAAAATGTTCATTGGTATTGTTTTATTAGTCGCTAGAATATGCATTCAACTTCACTGAAACAAGACATAAAAGGTAAGAGGTACACTACATCGTGACTATAGGAGTAAGAAAATTTAATTTCTTCACACCATCTGACCAAGATGTTAAATTACAGAGCTCTTTAGTCTTGATTTTGTTTTCTAGATAGAAATCAGGATGCTGTACAAACTTTTCTAATGGAATAGTCAAAATATTTAAGGAAGAAATCTCTACAGTTTAACAAATCTGTACATTTGGCAGGGCGTAGTGGGCCTGTAATCTCAGCACTTTGCGAGGTCGAGGTGGTCGGATCACTTGAGACTAGGAGTCCGAGACCAGCCTGGCCAACACGCGAAACCCCGTCTCTACTAAAAAGTTTAAAAAATTAGCCGGGGGTTGGTCGCTTGCGCCTGTAATCCCAGCTACACTGGAACCTAGGCTGGAGAACCACTTGAGTCTGGGAAACGGAAGTTGCAGCGAGTTGAGATTGTGCTACTGCACTCCAGCCTGGATGGTAGAGTGAGACCCTGTCTCAAAACAAACGAACAAAAAATTGCTAAGGTCTGTGAGGTTCTTATTATGAGCCATGAATTGCTTGAAGTCCTTCACATATGTAAACTCATGCAACCCTGGCATACACACAAAAAAGCAGATATGGCAGGTACTATCATTATCTCCATTTTTAGACGAGGAAACCGAAGGCCAGAAAACTTGAAGTAGCTTTCCCCAAGTTGTAGCCTGTAACTCCTAGAGCCGAGCTCTTGTTTATATATAAAAGGTTTCAGGAAACAAATGCACTCGGAACCACTTCGTGTTTCGGTCCTCTCATCGAGAAAGGGCTACCCGAAGGTCCAGGTTCGCAGTTTGTGAGACGGAGCTGCCAGCTTTCGTTCTAGGGTGAGCCACCTGGAGGTCTGGCCACTCCCTCGTCCATCGCTCTGCCCCAGACACCCACGCTCGCTTCCCTCTTCTCCCTCCACCTCGGCCTACTTCCCTTCTTCCTATCTTCGCTCCTTTCGCATCGCCACCGTGCACCGTCGCTCGGTGCCCACCGCCCCGCTTTACTTCCCTTGGCTCTGCCTAGCCACGCTAAATACGCGACCCCAGCGCTGTCCGCCGTCGCGCCTCCATGACGTCACGCGCGCCGCCAACTTCGGGCTAGGGGGGCGGGGCCGCGGGGGCTGGCCAGCGGGGGCGGGGCCGGGCCGGGGCAGGGGGCGGGGCCGGGCCAGGGCCGAGCTCGCGGCCTCTGCGGCCATAGCTGCCTGCGCCGTCCCTTCCCCTCACCCGCTCCCCGCCCTCCTGGGCCGAGTGGAGTTGGGTGGCGTCGGCGGCGTCTCCCTGAGGGGCACCGCGGCTTCAGGAGCTGGGCGTCCAGTGCGGCGCGATG